GACTACGACTACTACTACTACTACTACTAATAATAATACTAATAATAACTACTACTACTACTACTACTACTACTACTACTACTACTACTACTACTACTACAACTACAACTACTACTACCACTACCACTACTACTACTACTACTACTACTACTACTACTACTACTACTACTACTACTACTACTACTACTACTACTACTGCCACTACTACAAATAATACTACAACTACTACTCATTATCCTCGTCCTGGTCCTCCTACTCGTCCTCCTCCACATCCTCCTCCTCCTCCTTCACCTCCTCCTCCTTGTCTTCGCTCTGGGCTCCTCATCGCTCCTCCTCGCTCCTCCTCGCTCGTCCTTGCTCCTCCTCCTCCTCCTCCGCATCCTCCTCCCTCTCCCCCGCCTCCTCCTCCTCCTTCCCCCCTCTGTCCGTAGCCATTTTGGCTCAAGGAATCCGCGGGTCAAAGATTTTGGTTTCGTTCTTTCATTCCCCGGTCTCATGTCCCATGGCTCTGGCAAAGGCGGCGGTGGCAAAGGGGGGACGCCCCCCTGGCGCGGCTCAGCCGCAGCCAGCAGCGGAGGCAGTGGATGGCAGGACTGGTCGCAGGGCAACGGCAACTCCAGCTACTACTCGCACTCGTGGCACAACCACAGCAACGGAGACAGGTGGAAATGTGTTGCTTGCGGTTGCGGCAAGACGTCGGTCTAGGTGGGGTACTGCAGGCACTGTGGCGCCCCCCGTCAAGCACCGACTACTGATCTTCATGTACCTCCTCGTGGTGCGTGGTCTCATCAGCAAGGCCAGCCTCGATCTCCAGGGTAACATCCTCCTGGTGAGTGGGCCATCCTGCCTGCTGGGCCGCAACTCGCTGGCGCTGCCGCAGGCAGCAGAGGCGGGCCCCACTGCAGCGAGGCCCCACTGGATGCCAGGGAGCTCCAGACCTCGGTGGCGTTGGCCAAGCGAAGCGGCGATGAGCAGACTGCAGCCAAGTACCAGATCAAGCTCGATGCGATGGCAGCCGCTGCTGAGCCCCCGCCGAAGGCCATCCAGGACCAGGTCAGCGACGTGCACCACCGCGTTAAGAAGCTTGACAGCAAGATGGGGACCGATATGGCGAAGCTTCAGAGGTGGCAGGAGGGCATTCGCCAGCAGGAGATCCTCATCCACGACCTGTCCCAGCAAAGTGAGGCCATGGTCATGACGCACCGCCAACTCGTGGCGCAGCTTCATAGCACGGTGGTGCCCACTCAACATCATGCTCATGCCAGCAAGGGCCAACGCTTTCCCTCTGCGACCTTGTCGAAGGCAAGGTGTCCAACATCAACATTGACGACGGTGGCCTCTTTTCGGTGGGCGCAGAGGGCATCGAAGAAGCCGGCCGAGCTGAAGTTGAAGGACGGCGCGCTGATTTCAAGGAACACATCGGCCAAGCGTCTAAGGCTCCGTTCGCGGATGCGCTTGCGGGGGCAGCTGTTGTCAGGGCCGAGCACGAAGCCCACCTCAAGCGCATGGCGGGCAAGCGCAGGAAGGGCGAGGACGGCGAGGAAACTGCAAGAGGCGATGTTCCTGCAGGCGGCGCGGAGGGCTCCTCCCAACCCGACAGCGGAGGCGGTACCAGTGACAGCGCTGCCGCGGGGTCAGCTGAATCCGCCGCCAGCCCGACTGCGTCTGCCAGCCGAGTCCGGGAGCAGGCAGCACGCATCGCGGAGAGGGTGCAGCAGCACGCTGCGGACTCAGGCCGTGGCGCAGGTATTGAGCTGCAGAAAAATGGCCCCCCCCCTGAAGGCGGCCAAGCTTGAAGGGGGGAGTCTCGCGTCACATCAGTGAGCCCAGTGCGCCACGTTCATCTTTTACCTTTTGGAAGCGAGGGCCAGCCAGCTGCTGGCGACGTTTCCCTTCGCGCGCCCGCTCCCCCCGTTCCGCCTCGATCCGGCTGGTGTCAAGAACGGCCAGAGAGGACAGACCGCCCCTCTAGGCAAGCTGTTGGAGGAGCCGCCCCAGGCGGGCCTGTTTCCCCGCCGCCACCCCCTGAGCCCGAATCGTTTCGTCTGAGGGTCGTGTCGGTGAACGGGAACTCTTGGGGGTCGGTCAAGGAGTGGCCCCCCGGCGCAGACGCAGAAGCTATTCTTATCCAGGAGCACAAGGTGTCATCGCAAGAAGCTCTGGATACAACAGCAGTCTTCTGCCTCGGTCTGGGATTAAGCTTTGGATCCCAGGGGCGACTGGCCCCGAGGGATGCCCTTCCGCAGGGGTCTCGATTTTGTGCCGCGCAAGTCTCGGGCTGCACCCTGCCCCGCCTGGTCTTGAAATCTTGCCCCATTGAGCCATCGCGGCCCAGGTGCGCGCCCCGCATGGTGAAACGTTCCAGGCTTGCTCGCTCTATTTAAGAGACTCGGAGGGCCTCTCGGCAGATAATATTAGCACGTTGTCGTCTATAAGGGGGCCGCGGGATCCACTTGCGGGAAGCCGTTCGTTGCCGGGGGAGGGGGGGACTGGAACACGGGGCCGTCGGTGCTCGAGAAGTCCAAGTTCGTGGGCACACTGGTCGGCCAGGTCATCGATGCTTCGACCTCCGCGTGCCGCGCTGGAGAAAGGGAGGTTTACGATTACTTCTCGGCGTCTTCGGGTTTATCGAAAGGGGTTGCAGACGTCGCTACGCTCGACGATGCTGGCTTCTTTCCTCGCCAACCTGTTCGCCTGACGTTCCATGCAGGTCTGGCCAGGATGCATCATTAAACGTTCAAGAGGCCACCACCTATTCCCACGGAGATGCCTTTCGGATCGTTGCCCGAACCACTGGAATTCTCTAGAGTCGACGCCCAGCTTGACGCCACCTTCACCAGAGCGAAGCGAGGGGGCGACTCCGCCATGACGGTGCAACTATTTCTTGAAGCTCATGCATCTTGGGCTGGACTCGCGGAACGCGAGCTTTCGAGGATCTTCGGGGTCAACCTTCCTGCATGGGGGGCCAGGGGGAAGGGCCCAGGACCCACTGGAGGCCCATCCTTGGGAAAGACCACGGACGGGAGCGTTCGGCACCCGCAGCTGCGCGCCACGCGTTGGATGGCGGCCTACTGTGAACGTCTTGCTTCCTGTACGCAGCGAGGGGATTGGCCTCGGGCTCGGGGCGCGGCGAGGATCTTGACCTCTCCCCCCCGTGTGTGCGTGCAAGACCGATGACCCCTTCCCCGGAATGGAAGTCATCTACTCCTTGCTTAGAGATGTTGCGAGAGAAGTTGCCGGCGTTCCCCCTCGCCCTTTGGACCCGATACAGTTGGTGCAAGCTGAGTTGTCGCCGGACCGCGCTGCCGAAGCCAGCGAAGCTGCCCCTGATTTTGCCGCTCAGTGTTCCAATTTTTGTTCTACCAAAGTCAAGAGAGATTGGGCCGACGGGCTCGCCGAAAACATCGACAAAGGAGGCGGGAGAGCTCACAGCTACACCAGGGACCCGCAGGGCTGGGAGCCCAGTACGACTTTAAGTTCAAGAGGCTGCGCGGTGTCCGACCCGCAGGCGCTCTTGGATGATGAGACGCAGCGGTTCCGCGAGCTGCGGGAAGGGTTGCCTATGCCAGCGAAGAGGGGCGGGGAAGTTCAACCTCCCCCGCCCCCCCCCCCACACGATTCCGATCGAAATGATTCTGCAGTGTCGAAGAAGTTTGCCCGCAGGTCTGCGACAGGTCTCGATGGGTTCACCTTCGTCATTTCTCTGTTCTGTCTGATGGAGCCTTGCGGGCTCTCTCGAGAATGTTCTCGTTGATGGAAATGACTGGCGCTCTGCCCCTGCAGCTACAGGCGGTGATTATCGTCTTTCTTCCGAAGCCCAGCTCAGGCTTTCGGCCTATCGGATTTTTTGCCAGCGCGCTCCGCCTGCGGGGGAAATGCAGTAGGGAGTGCGCTATCCAATGGGAAAGTGATAATCAGAGGAGTTGCTGGGCGGCACGCAAGCACGAGTCAGCCAGCGATGTCGCATGGCGGCGAGCGGCCAGGTCAGAGTCTTCACGTTCTCAAGGCGATCACGCTTGCACCCTGTTGTGGGACTTTGTAAAGTATTACGAGCGGATCCCGCTGGAGTTGTTGGAGTTGAGCTGCAGGCAGCGCGGCGTGGCAAGCCAGATCAGAGACGTCTGTCTGGCTGGATGCAGACCTGATCGCTTCCTGGTCCTTGTTGGCGTCGTTGCCCACCCCACCTGCGCCAGGGTAGCAATCGTGGCGCGGGGTGCAGTTTCGCCACCGCGATGATCCGCGTTTTTGCGCTCCGAGGGTTCGGTCAGCTCGTCCTCCTTGAGAGTCTGTCTTTTGATACGTGCATCGATGATTCGGGGCTCAGCGCGATTGGCTCGGCTAGAAATCGCGCGAGAGTTCCCCTAACCTGCTGGGAAATTTGAAGAAGTTATCGGCGCGATCCTCCTTGCCAAGGTCTCCCCCGAAAGAATCGGGGCGGTCGCTTCGTCGAGTGCCATTGCCCAGCAAATCCAGAAGAACTTGGGGGCCCTTGGAGGAGAAGGCACTGAATCTTCGACCTGGGCATTGACGACGCTGCAGGACGGGCTCGGCGAGTTCGCGGGAGGAACAGCCGCGCCGAGCTCCGTTTCGCTCGAGCTTCCAGGCGCGCTGGCAGGTTGGCACGACAGTGGGGCAATGAAGTTGCGCATGGTGGGACCTCTGGCGGGGGCGAACTGCGGGGCGGAAATCCACGGGGTCAGTGACGGCGAGCGGCTCAAAGTCCGACGTCTTTGCGCGCCGACTGTGAAGCCGAATGCTGGGGAGGCGAAGTTTAGCCATTCGCAGCAGGATCGAGGGGGGCCCTGCTTGGTGGGGGGGCGGTCGCCCCCATCATCCGCTGGTCTAAAGAAGTGTGGGCCAGGCGCGCTCGGGCCAATGAAGTTTGCGTCTCCTGGGCCGATCTCCGGGACATGTGGAGCCATTTTTTTGTTGTTTTTGTTTTTGTTTTTTTCTTCATCTCTTTTCTTCTTCTTTTTTCCGAGGCGGTGGACCTGGAGGGCCGTTGGGGGGCCCGTAGGGGGCATGCAACCTCCCCTCGACCGCATTGGGTGGACTATGCCCAAACCGTTCATTTTGATTCGCGACCTCAAAGTTGAGCACCCCCTCCCCCCCCCCGCACACGCCATGCCCCGCCCTCCTTGAGGTTCCCTTGAAGGCATGGGCTTTGGAAAGGGAAGCTGCCGTGAAATGCGGGCCCGAAGGTTCTCGGAGGCTTTGTTTCGATGCCGTCTCGAGAGCCCTCCGTTCCAAACGTTTTTCGACGCGCCAGAAAGGAACTCTGCGCTGCTGCGCCTGCCAAGGACTGCGACCGCTAGCTCGTGCTCGAGCTGCAGGCTACGACGTTGCAAATGCTTGCCCTCTTTATCATGAATCAGGGGGCACTCTGTTCCATCGGCTTTGGCTTTGTTCGGCAATTTCAGAGGAACGGGGAGAAGTGGCTTCCCAGCGGCAGCAGGATGCTAGTATTCGACGTTATGAGGGATCTTCTGATCGCGAGCGAGTCCATCTCATCTCTGGCTTGTTTGGACACCCTGAATGCGTGACCCCCCCCCCCAAAAAAAGCCGACCGCGGCAACGATGATGACGGATTCCACTTTCAGTTCTACCCTGAAGGCTTCGAGGCCAAAGGAATGGTCATGCCACAGACTGGTCGTAGGCAGCTGTGGGGACACGTTTTCTCGACTGGTCATGCCCCCGCAGTGTTGTTCGCAGCTCGAACAGAGCGGGTTGGGGGCTGGCTATGTCAGGCCCTCGCTCGCATCTTCTCGCCATGATGCGGGGGGACAGTGTGGGCCAGTTGCCCGCAGACTCCACAGACTGGCGAGCTTGCTACTTACGCGATGGCTGGAGCTGTCCTATCTGGCCCCATAGTGATCCACTCAGACTGCCAGAATGTTGTTTCGATGCACGGCCCCCCGAGTTGCGAGCAACTTTCACCCAAGCGTCCATACTCGGGTCTCGCGTTGCAGGGTCGCTTATTTGGCGGAAAATGGATGCTTGGGCGTGAGAAGGTCAAAGCTCATTTATCGCACGACGATCCCGACACCAGCGAAGACGAGCGATTTCGACGGTTCGGGGACGATTTTGCCAACAGAGCTGCGACGTGGGGTGCCGACACCCACGCGCAGCCTGCACCTGAGGTGGCTGAAGAATGCGGCCACCTCACGAATCCGGCCCAACTCGCAGTCAGACTCGCTGCCACCCTGCTGCCGCTATGGCCTCGCACTGACCTTTCCTGTGCTGCGTGGTCGTCTCCGACCACTCCTGCCCCACGAGTTACCCCCAATCCCCATCAGTGGGAGTGGATGGGGCCTCCTGGCGGGGATCAACGTTTTTGGTGTTGTCAATGATGTTTGCGGACCTCGCGAAATTATGCGAATACGCCCCCGCCGCCAGGCAACTGTTCAAGGTCCCTCAAAACCAACGTACTTGAACTCAGGGATCGCAGCCGTAGGTTTATTCTCTTGGACGCGGGTAACGGGGGGGTGTTGTGGTTTGTGTGAAGTGCAAGAGATACACCTGTGGAGCTCGTCTGGCAAAACTTGCCAAGAGCTGTCCTGGCCGTCCGCCAGGCAAATACAATCCAGATGCGTGGAACCAGATACTGAAGGGTCTCCATCCGAAAGCGAAGGGGGTTACTCTGTTATCTGACACGCTGAGTGTGCTTTAAGCATGCCGCGGGGGCCCCAGTGCACAACAAATCCTCCTCCCCCTCCGCCTCCTCCTCCTCCTCCTCCTCCTCCTTCTACTCCTCCTCCTCCTCCTCCTCTTCCACCTCCTCCTCCTCCTCCTCCTCCTCTTCCACCCCTTCCTCCTCCTCCTCCTCCGCCTCCTCCTCCTCCTCCTTCCCTCCACAATTACACAATGCGAATACTACTCTCCTGGCTCCCCTGGCGTCGTCCGGGGAATATCCGCCCCCCTCCGCGTACTGTTTTTTTACACTCAGGATTCCCTGGAAACAGGTTTTCACTTGTTTTTTCAAAATGCTGTTCTCGCTGCAGCGCTGGCCTCATTTCCCCGCTTCCGCTCGTTCAGAATCGTGCTCCCGCTGCAGCGCTGTCGCAATTTCTTCCAGCGCCATGCCACGCCATGGTTTCGGTCCTTCCAAATAGGCATCAAAATCTAGAAACTGGCCTCCCGAAACAACCATCGGAGGTGATTACTCCTCATTCGGTATCGATTCGTTGATCTCTGGGTCGCAGAAGCCCACTTGGGGGCGTCGCCACGCCATGCTATGTCAGGCTTCGCGTCCTCCGAATCGTGCTCCCGCTGCAGCGCTGGCCTCATTTCCGCACTTCCGCTCGTTCCGAATCGTGCTCCCGCTGCAGCGCTGGCGCAATTATTTCCAGCGCCATGCCACGCCATGGTTTTCGGCCCTTCCAACTAAACCCCAAACTCTAGAAAATGTCCCCCCGAAACAACCATCGGAAGTGATTCCACATTCGGCGCCGATTCGTTAAATGTTTGGAGCCGCAGAAACCCCCACTTTGGGGCGTCGCCACGCCATGCTATGTCAGGCTACGCATTGATCTTCAACACCATGCTATGCCATGTAATGCTGCGCCCTACTACGACATCCGACTGTGCGACTAGAGAGGAGATCTACGCCATGGTAAGGGATGGGAGGGAGGGGTGGGCCGTCAGTGACGACGATGCCGTCGTCGACGAAGCCGTTTGGGAGTTTGGGGGCGTTTCTGGAAGTTCGTGTGGCTGTGGCGGGGCGCAGCCCGAAGAACTTGTCGGGATAGCGTCGAGGACTCGTCCCAGGCCTCCCTACTCTGGGGCCAGGCCTAGTGGACTTCCCGTGAAAAAGCATGCGAACCTCGCCACCATGCGACTACCACAGCAGCGTGGAGCGGACGACAGCCTGGGGGATTATGGCCTCCCAGCCTGGCCGGCGACTCGAGCCAGGTGGTGGCGGGTACTCGTCCCACTTCTGAAGAGGGGCAACAAGCAGGGGCGGAAGAAGAACGTGAGCAAAAACGCAGAACGCCGTGGGCACACAGCACATGCACAACTGGAACCACCGATCTCACCTTAAGACATGTTTTTCCAAATCAAACCTGTCAGTGAGCTTCTCGACCCCACTTTCAGACGTAGCTTTTTAAAGCCCAACACACTGGCAAGCATGATGTATTTGTTTTGTGGCCCCGCTAGGCAGCGCGAAGTCTCGTCTGGGCATGCGTGGGACCCCACTCCGCTGGGCCTTCCCAAGAGCCCACGAAAGCGGCGGCAATTGCATAGCTGGCGCGTCCACCAGGTAGCGCGAGGTCTCGATTGGATCTGCGTGGGACCCCACTCCACTGGACCTCCCAGGAGCCCACGAGATTGGCGACAGGGGAGCAGGCGGCGCGCCCCGAAGAGTGATACACCAGGGGAGACAAGAGACAGGAATCCGAAGGTAAGAGGGGCGCGCTGGAGGGATTCTAGGATTCCAGGCTGACCTCGCGCGGGCCCCGAAAGGGCGCGAGGTCCAGGCAGAGGGACAAGCGACGGCCACCGACGCGACGATGCGCGACGGACCCCTCTTCGCATTCGTCCAGCATTCGTCCAGAATTCGTCCTGATTTCGTCCGAATGTCGACGAAATCCGAACAAACCTGGACGGAATCCCCGAAACCACAAGAAATTGTGGGACCCAAGGACCACACAACCGCGCCTGTAATACTGATCGCCGCTGTTCCGAAGGCTCGCCTTGTAAGATTTCGGCGGCCACGCCGCCTCGCCAGACTGGCATGAGCACCGCACAGCCACGGTGACGCCCTCCTCCCCGCGATCACGCGCGCGCGGGGCGCGAGGAGGAGAGGGGGAAGGACACCGCCACCACCGATTCACCGCGCCACCCCACCACCGCAGAGCCAGCGCAGGCGACACGAGAGAAGTCGACATCATCGACCCTCGATCGATCGACTGCGACGACGACGACGACGACGACGACGACGACGACGACGACGACGACGACGACGACGGCAGCGGCGGCGACGACGACGACGACGACGACGACGACGACGGCGGCGGCGGCGGCGGCGGCGGCGGCAGCGGCGGCGGCGCAGAGGCGCTGCCTGGCGGCCGCCCGCGGCGCGGCCGGCGCCCAGCGGTCCCAGCAGGGCGCCGGCGCCGGCGCCGAGGCCCGCCTCCTGGAGCCTCTCGAGCTCCTGGGCGATGCCGCCGATGCCTGCGGGTCTCACAGCTAGGGAGCCCACAGAGGACGTACGCGCCCATTTATGCACATGGACAAGACCCCTTGACCCGCGAGACCAGCCGCGTGATACGAACATTTGCGCAATGCGAACTTTCGAAACCAGCGTGGATTCACTCCTGAACACTGATGCACAGCTGGAGCTGTGATCCACAAGCGTCCATGCAAGGCCCTGTCTGGAACGCCCCACATGGCCCGAGGATCTTCGGGCCCAGGCTTGAACAAGAGACGCACTGGGCCAGCTCGGGCTCTCAAGGGCCCGAGCTGGCCTGGTGTGTTTTTGTTTCAACAGCCGGAGCTGTGATCCACAGGCGCATGGCCCGAGATACCTGGGCCAGCTTTTCGGCAGGCTCGTGGGCAAACGCTGGGCTGGCCTCGAGCGTGCAGCCTCGTGCATGCGCAAGGAGGGGGCTTCAGAAACTGGGCCAGCCCCCAGGGAAACCGCCGAAGGAACGCTGGCCCTGGCGAGCGATGGCTGCTTCTTCGGCACGATTGCTATACAGTCAACCCGTATATAAGGATGCGCGGCAAGGATGCAAGGGCCTGGGGGGGCCATGTGGACGTGTTTCGAGCGAGGTTGACCAGCGAAAACCGCTAAGGATGAGCCGAAGAGGCAAGGATGCAAAGGTGACCTTGGAAAGCCAAAACGTGAACCAATGCGCTGAACCAACACGCAAAATATTGAAACGGACGTCTTGAGCACAGTACGTGTTGCGTATTACAACGGGCGTATCGAGGCAGCTAAGCCGCGGGTGCTCTCCTCCTCTGGAGGCCTCTCGGGAGGGGTCCGAGCAGGTGGGGTCGGAGGATCGCACCGCATCGCAGGTGCATCGCCGATGCATCGGCGACATCGGCGATGTATCGGCGCCGTCGGCGTGGAGAAGGTATGAGAAAATTGGGCTCCACAGCGAACCGCATCGCCGATGCATCGCCAATGCGTCGGCGATGCGGCGCCACCCTCCGACCCCACCTGGTCGCGGTGCTCCTCCAGAACTCAGGGCTCAGGGCTCAAGACGCGGCGAGCCCCCCCGCGCGGTGCCAGGACCCAGAAGAAAGACGGCACGGCAGACGAGGTGTCGACGACGGACGACGACACCAGCCGCAGGAGTGGCCGCAACAACAACGGGCGACAACGACGAAGGCGGCCAGCTGTGGCCCCGAGCTTCCGCTCAGAAGCACGCTCACCGCCCTGCGCCTCGACGACCCTAGCAACAAAAACAATGCGCACCCCCATGGCGGAGGTGCGCTACGGCAAGACATTGTCGCGATGACGTCGGCGTCGGTCTCTGGCACCGCGTGGACGGGTCAACCTTGAGCGATCGCGTCTTCCCGATAGCGGCGCCGATCGTTCGATATCGGCCAGATATGGACCACCAGCGTTCAGCCTTGAACACCAGCGCCAAAATCGACCCCGAATCAATGCACCGCGAACCTACCGTACGTTGCTGCAGCCATAAACCGTGTCGTCTAGGCAGATCCCAGTCTGAGTCAAGCTGCCCGCACCGACCCCATAATATGCGACAAGCGCGATTGCCGCACAAAGCTCAAGACAATGCCCCTCAGGGACAAGGCCGTCAGAGTTGCTGACCTCCACGTCGCGGAGCCCCTGCATCTCCAGGCTCTGCATGTTTCTCGAACGTGATCGTTATACTTGCCATTTCTCCACCCCTTCCGTCTCCTACGCCTCCTCCTCCTCCTGGATATCCTTACTATTCTCTTCTACCACCTCTCTCTTCTGCTCTCCTCGTGCCGCGTGAACCGAGGCCCTCCTCTCGCCTGCTCCTCCTCCTCCTCCTCCTCCTTCTCCTCCTTCTTCTCCACCTCCTCCTCTTCTTCCTCGTATTTCCTCGCAATATTCCTCCTCCTCCTCCTCCTCCTCCTCGTCTTCATCCTCATTCTCCTTCTCCTCCTCCTCCTCCTCATCCTCCTCCTCCTCGTCCTCCTCCTCCTCCTCCTCGTCGTCGTCTTCCTCCTCCTCCTCCTCCTCCTCCTCTTCATCCTCCTCCTTCTCCTCCTCCTCCTCTTCCTTCTCCTCCTCATCCTCCTCCTCCTCCTCGTCCTCCTCCTCCTCCTCCTCAGTGTGTGTTCAATCCACTTCGGCCCGCGTTTCTGGCGGCTGGCATGTCGATAACCGACGTGCATGGCGTATGCAGCCGAAAGCTGGCATCCAAAGGGCGCTGGCGGCGGGCAATTCTGCCTGCAGGCACGAGGACTCCGCAGAACGATGTGGTGATGCACATGAGCCTCTTTCTCTTTTCTCTCTTTTTTGGTTGTCTCTCTCTCTCTCTCTCTATTTCCATCTCTGTCTGTTTCTGCCTCTGTCTCTGTCTATATAGTTATGTATATTATGATTGCGTCTCTCTCTCTCTCTCTCTCTCTCTCTCTCTCTCTTTCTCCCCCTATATATATGTATACATACTACAGATGCTACTATCTCTCTCTCGCCCTTCCTCTCTCACGCTGTCTCTCTCGCTCTCTCTCTTTCTCTCTCTTCTCGTCCGCTCTCTTTCCTTCTTTCTCACTTCTCACGATGCTGCCAACGCGGCCTTGGTCGCCATACAGCTCCGCACGGATCTTGTTCATCTCCTCGGTGATCGAGGAGAGTTGCTCCGCCAGCCCCGCCGCGACGCCGCCCAGCTGGGCCCTCTTTGCTAGAGGAGCGATACATACAACATACGTACACACAAATGACAGATGCAGCACCCCAGTCGCGGGTAAGAGTGAGGGAGTGGGCGTGAGGTGGGTCGTGGGTGGGTCGCTGGGTGGGTCGCGGGTGGGTCGCGGGATGGGTCGCGGGTTGGGTGGGTCGCGGGCGGATCGCGGGCGGGTCGCGCTGTGGGTAGCGGGTGGGTCGCTGGGTGGGTCGCAGGCGGGTCGCGGGGTGGGTCGCGGGTGGGTCGCGGGTTGGTTGCAGGTGGGTCGCGGGTGGGTCGCGGGTGGGTCGTGGGGTGGGTCGCGGGTGGGTCGCAGTTGGGTAGCGGGTGGGTCGCGGGTGGGTCGCGGGTGGTTCGCGGGTGGGTCGCGGGCGGGGTCGCGGGCGGGACGACGGCAACAAACAACACACAACAAGCAACACATAACAACCAACCAACAACCAACAACCAACAACCAACTATCAACAGCAATCGATCGCAGCAGCAGCAGCACCAACATCAACAACAACAATAACAACAACAATCATTTTAAGACTGTTCGCTCTTATCTGCTCGCGTGCTACTCAACACGAATATCACGAACCCTCGATACCCGCCCCCTTCGTCCTCGACCGTACCCCCTTGGCGGTATAGCTTTCTTACCTGCAATGTGTATTTCGCGCAGCCCCTGAAGCAGGGGAAGAGAGGACGGGTGGAAGGAAGGAAAAGGGGGAGGGAGGAGGTGGAGCACGGGCTAGGAACAGAAAACACGTGGCAGAACCAGACGGGCAGATCGGGCGGGTAGACCCTACCAGGAGGGTCGGGAAGGAGGGCCCAGGCGGCCAGGTCAAGTAGGCGGGTTGCTCAAGCGTGCGTCCTGCATGAATCGCGAGGAAGTTCGAGCGACAGCTCGCTTCCCAAATCAATCGTGAGTAAATCCACAGCGAGAGCATGACTCCTGAATGTCGAGGGCGCGGCCTCTGAATACATTGTGAGGAAGTCCCGCGCGAGAGCGCGATTCCTGAATAAATTGTGAGGACGTCCCGCGCGAGAGCGCGAGTTGGAAATAACTTGTGAGGAATTATCAGGCGGGAGCCGTTGTTGTTGTTGTAGCTCGGGGGCCAACAGTGCAGTTTGACCGTAGCGATTTTCCCTCATACACCTGGGGGAAGCACTTCAATTGAAAAACACAATGGTCACCGGAAGAGGGGATCAACAACAACTATTGTTCAATAGCGAAAATTCAACAACAATCATAAGACTGTTCGCTCTTACTGGCACGGGTGTTTTGCATTCTGTATACCCAAACCCTCGACACCCGCCCACTTCGTCTTCGATCGCACCCCCTTTTGGGGGGAATCTCGCCCTTCTCGGCCACTGACAGCAATGCGAAGAACTCTCGAGCGAAAGCGCCGTTCCTGAGTTCGGGGGCCTCTCTGGCCAGGCCAGGGGCTCTCGGAATACAGATTGAAACATATCGAACGGGAGCTTTTGTCGCCGTGTCTGGGCCTCCACCAACCCGCCTGAATTACAAGAAAATCTCGAGTGAGAGCGCCACTCTTGAGTTCGGGGGCCTCTCTGGCAAAGGGCCTTTGCAAATGCATTTGAAGGTATATCGAACGAGAGCCCTTGTCGTCGTAGTTGGGCCTCCACCAGTTTGACTGAATCACGAGGATGTCTCGAGCGAGAGCGCCGTTCCTCAGGAGTTCGGGGGCCTTCCTGGCCAGGACCTCTCAAAGTAAATCTTGCGGAAGTATCGAGCAGGAACCCCTGTCGTCGTGGCTGGGCCTCCGCGAACTTGACTGAATAGAGAGGAAGCCTCGAACGAGAGTGCCGCTCCTGAGTTCAGGGGCCTCTCTGGCCAGGGTGTCTCGGGGTAAACTGTGAGGAAGTATCGAGCGGGAGCCGTTGTCGTCGTAGCCGGGCCTCCAAGGGCCTACTTTTACACTCAAGCCAACGCTCGAGCGGGAGCGTTGTTGCCAGAGAAAATTTAGCCGGCGTGGAGTCTAGAGCGCGCAAAACCGTTTCAGGATATCAACAATAAATATTATCTATAAGTGTATCAAAAACAACCACAACAACAAGAACAGCAACATCCGTCATTTCACCATCATGCACGATGCTTCCACACGAACCATGCGACCATCATGATAGCCAGCCCCATCATGGGTGCAATTGTTTTATAGCGGGGCCCGTTATTCCCATTCCCAGATCTCCCGCCCAATGAGGTCTTGCAAACACCTCCTCCAAGGAATTTCGACATATCCCGCCTCGAAAACGCATGCCCGCGCCGTGGTGCGCCGATGCGAGACCGCCAATGGAGCCCCAGCCAAAAGGACAAAAAACGTATCGAACGACAGGATTGCCTTAGTGGGGATGGGGGCTGTCGGCGGCGAGGCAATGACCTGGCCCTGAATAGAAAGGGGCGAAGTCTCGAGCAGGGCCGCTGTTGTTGCTGGGAACGGCGCCAAAAGAGTACGGCGCTAGTCTAACGTAAACCAAAACGAAATCTCGAGCGGGAGCGCTGGCTTTGTTGGGGCGGCGGTTGTCGGCGGCGAGGAGGAACACCGCTTTGAGTAAGAAGGGGAAAAGTCTCGAGCGAGAGCCGTGGTTTTGTCGGGGCTGGGGCTGTCGGCGGCGAGGAACAGCACCTCCTGAGGGAAAAGGAAAGAAGCCTCGAGCGGGAACGCTGTTCTTGTGGGAGCGGCGCCAATTCAAAAGAGACGACCAAACGTACAACACGAGGAAGTCTCGGGCGGGAGCGCTGGTTTTGTCGGGACGGCGGCTCTCGGCGGCGAGGAGGAGCACTGCCTTGAGTAAAAACAGAAAAAAATTCGAGCGGGAGCGTTGTTGTTGCTAGAGGCGGCGCCGATGAGAGAAAGAGTAGCGCGCCAGTCCAAGGTAAAACGGGAGGACATCTCAAACGGTAGCGCTGGTTTTGTTCGGACGGCCGCTTTTGGCGGCGAGCAAGAACACCGGCCCTGAATAAAAAAACGAGGAAATCTCGAGCAGGAGCGTTGTTGTTGTTGCTACTGCTGCTGCTGTTGTTGTTGTTGTTGTTGTTGTTGTTGTTGTTGTTGTTGTTTGGGGGCTGTTTTGGTGCCCACCCAAACCGCTCGAACGCGAGTCTCACTTTCAATGAGCATGTAGCCAGCGCCGAGGCGAGAGCGTTTAAGCGCCTGGGGGGGGTCCAAGAATGATTAGTGTCTAATATTTAACATTCAATAGCGACGACGACGACGACTACAACAACAACCATCATTTTAAGACTGTTCGCTTTTATCTGCTCGCGTGTCGTTCAACGTGCAGATCCCAAACCCTGGATGCCCGCCCTCTTTGTTTTCGATCGTGCCCCCTTTTGGGGGGTATATTCATTCCCTGCCACGCGTGGCTGGTGAAGCCCTTGAAAACGAAGGGTAACCGATAACGGGGGAGAGTGAGGGCGAAGGATCGGAGGAAGAGAGGGGAGGGGCAAGAAGGAGGGAGGACGATGATTTGCGCTGCGAGTGGCGATTCAGCTTGCGCCATGGCTTGCGCCGGCCACTCCAACAACGGTTAACAATAAGTTTCGCCATGGGTCGCGCCATAAACAGCGCCGCGCGCCACCCCTTTGAAAAAACATATCGCGGATACCCCCACGGGGGGACGTGCAGCTGCGAACCAGCGTCAGAAACAACTTTCGTGGAACCCTGAGAAGAAGCGGGACGTTGGGAGAGCGGGGCGGAAGGATAGCGAGAACTGCAACCGCGTCGAGAGGAACGCGGGGACGTGGAGTGGATTGGGATGGAGTGGGCAAGAGTAGGGTCTCAGGAGGAGGAGCGGCAAGGAGTGGAGAAGAGGAACCGGGAGGAGCGCGGAGGAGCGGGGGGCGCACGGTGGAATCTGGAGGATGGACTGGGAATAATTTGGGACAAATGCGGAATGCGAGCGGGGAGGGGTGGAGATTCTTGGGGTGGGATGGGGTGGCCTGGGGGGGAGTGGGCGGAACGCGAAGAACGAGGCTGGGCCCCCGCCAACCTGGGTGAATTGCGAGGTCTCGAGCGAGAGTGCCGCTCCTGAGTTCGAGGGCCTCTCTGGCCAGGGTGTCTCGGGGTAAATTGTGAAGAAATATCGAGCGGGAGCCGTTGTCGTCGTAGCCGGGCCTCCAAGGGCCCACTTTTACACTCAAGCCAACGCTCGAGCGGGAACCTCGTTGTCAAAGAAAATTTAGCCGGCGTCGAGGCTAGAGCGCGCGGAACTGTTTCCGGAGATCAACAATACTTTTCTCTAGAAATGAATACCCCACTGCAACGACAACAACAGCAGCAACACCACCAACAATAATAAACAAAGACACCACCACCGCCAGCAACAACACTTGCAGCAGCAGCAGCAACAACAGCAGCAACAGCAACACCAGCAACAATAACAACAATACTAGCAGCAACAACAGCAACAATCAACGTAATACTGTTCGCTCTTATTTGCCCGCGTGTCATTCAAAACGAGTTCCCCACACCCTCGATACCCGCCATTTTCTTCTTCGATCACACCCCTTCGGGGGGATTCTTTCTCTTTGCGAGGGGCGGCGGGCTTAGACAGGCGGGCAAACCTGAACGGGCGGACAATCCTTCGTGGGCGTTCATGTGCCCGCCATTGGAATTGGTGTGGGCCCTGCAAAAAGACAAGGGGAATAACGAGAGAGAATGGGAGGAAGGGAGGGGGAGGGACGAAGGAAGACGGAAAACGTCAGGAGAGAAGGAGCGAAGAGGGGGGCGGTTGATTAGATTAGAGGCAGACAGAGAAAGAGAGAGAGAGAGAGAAGGAGAGAGAGAGAGAGAGAGAGAAAGAGAGAAACACAAAAACTAATAAGAGAGGTAGAGAAAGAGAGAGAGAGGGGAGAGAGAGAGAGAGAACAAAAAAAAAAAAAGAGGGAGGGAGGAGGCAGGATAGTGGAGGGAGAAGGGAGGAGGGAGAGGAGGGAGAGGGGATAGGGCAGAGAGGCATAAGGATGAGGGAAGAGAGGTGGGAGAGAGAAAGGAGGAGAGAAGGGAGGAGGGAGGAGGGAGAGAGAGGACGAGCAGAAGGCAAGAGCGTGAGCGTTCGAGGAAATCCTATGCGAAAGCGCCGTTCCTGAAGGAAGTCTCGGGCGGGAGCCCACGACGGGCGGGCGATCCCCTGACGGGCGGGTCGGGCGGGTGGGACATTCAAGCGGGATGCCTGAGTATGGCGAGAGCGCGATTACTAAATAAATTGTAACGGCGTCCTTGGCGCAGCGTGCTTCCTGAGCGTCGAAAGCGCGATTTCTACATACATTGCATGGAAACCGCAGGCGAGAGCGCAACTCTTGAATAGAATGTGAAGGGTTCCCTGGCGGGAGCGGGGGTCTTGATTAAATTGCGAGGAAGTCTTGATTCAATTGCGAAGAAGTCTCAAGCGGGAGCGCCTTTCCTGAGTAAATTGTGAGGAAGTCTCAGATGGGAGCGGGGGTCCAGACTAAATCCCACCAGCCCTCTGGGCGTCGGTGGTTTAGGGCGTTTCCTCTTCCACCCCTACCTCTTCCCCTTCGGGGAGGGGTTTACCCCTCCCCCTACCCCCTCCCCACTGACCTGGACAGGAGGGGCGGGGAGCGGTCAGAGCGTCCAAAACGGCCTCGGCGAGGAAGCCAAAATCATTGATTTACTATGGTTTTGGCCCCATTTTGGCCTGCTGAAGGGGGCAGGGCTAATTAAAGCTCCCCTCTTCTTTGATCGATTGCCTCCACGATGGCCGCAAGAGGCCCCCAGGATGCCCCAAGAGGCCGCAGGATGGCCCCAAGATGGCCCCAAAAGGCCCCCCAAGAGGCCCCCAGGAGGCCCCCAAGAGACCCCCAAGAGGCCCCAAGAGACCCCCCAGAGGCACCCAAGGTGCTCCCACAGGCCTCGGCGATAATGTCAAACCATTGTTTGCACTAAGGTTTTAGCCACATGTTGGCCTCTTGGGGGGGGCACTGATTAAGATGACTCCAAGAGCGACTCGGAGAGCCCAAAATGACCTCCAAGATGGCTCAAGAAATCCCAAGATGTCTCCGCGAGCGGTCAGAGCGTCCAAAACGGCCTCGGCGAGGAAGCCAAAATCATTGATTTTGCTGAGATTGTGGCCCCATTTTGGCCTCCTGAGGGGGCAAAGATGGCCCCAAGGAGCGCCCAGGAGGCCCCCAAAGGCCCCAAGATGGCCCCAAGAGGCCCCAAGAGGCCCCCAGGAGGCCCCAAAGAGGATCCCGAACGGCCCACAGAAGCCCCCCCGAGGCACCCAAGACGCCGAAAAGCCCCTCAGGACGACCCTCTACTCGCCTGGGCGTCGTTTCTGGACGGGCTGGTGGGGATACTTATTTTTTTACAGCCGCAGGCGGAAGCGCCGGCGGCGAGCAGTCACGGTCGGGCTGCGGCCGCGACTAAATTCCCGGGCGCGCGCGGGAGCCGCGGATCAGGCGGCGAGGGGGCGGCAACCCAGGGCGTCTGAGAGGCCAGGCGGTCGGGCTGGTGGGGATACGCGAAGCGTCTAGAATTGCGAGGGAGTCACAGGCAGGAGCATCGAGCCTGAGAAAATTATGAGGAAGTCTCAGGAGCGGGGGTCCTGAGTAAATTTGGGGGAAATCTCAAGCGGGAGCCGTTGTTGTCGTAATCCGGGGGGCCAGGGGCCCAGTTTGAGCATTAAGACTTTCCCTATCAAAAAACAAGTTGTGAGCGTCGAGGGGCACACTATGATTGAGAACAACTGTATGCACCTGTGGTGGGAAGGATCAAGTTATTCTTCAGAAGTGAGAGTTCAAGAACAACGACAATCATTTTAAGACTGGTCGCCCTTATCTGCTCGAGTGTCCAATAACGCCTATTTCCCAAACCCTCGATACCCGCCCCCTTCGTCTTCGATCAAACCCCTTTTGGGGGGTATACCTTTCTTCCCTGCAGGCCAGGCCCCGGCAAGCGGCGGGGCGGCCGCGGACCGTCGGCCTGGCCAGCGGCAGCGCTGATCGGCGGGGCGGCCGCGGACCGTCGACCCGACCCCAAGAGGGACGGACAGGGGACCGACCACGACGACGACGACGTCGACGACGACGGCGACGACGACGTCGACGATGACGGCGACGAGCGAAAGCGAGAGCGAAAGAGAACGACAGCAGGGCCACAAGGACACGTAGTAGGCCACGAGGGGCAACAGCGGGGACACGAAGGGAATGCGTATGGTGCCACGAAGAGTGCGAACGAGCGGGGGCCACGAAGGGCAGATAATGCGGGGCCACAGAAGGCAACAATGGGGCCACTGAGGGTAGCAACTGGGCCACGTAGGACATATGCATATGGGGCCACCACGGGCGCGAACGAGCGGGGGCCACGAATGGCATACATATATGGGGCCACGAAGGGCAGCGAGGGGGCCACGAAGGGATGCAACGGGGCCACGAAGGGCAGCGAGGGGGCCACGAATGGCTGCAACGTGGCCACGAAGGGCTGCGACGGGGCCACGAAGGGCAGCGAGGGGGCCACGAAGGGCTGCAACGGGGCCACGAAACAAAGCGAGGGGGCCACGAAGGACTGCAACGGGGCCACGAATGGCAGCGAGGAGGCCACGAGGGGCTTCAACGGGGCCACGAAGGGCAGCGAGGGGGCCACGAAGGGCTGCAACGGGGCCACGAAACAAAGCGTGGGGGCCACGACGGGCTGCAACGGGGCCACGAAGGGCAGCGAGATCCCGATTCCTGTGTAATATGTGAGGGAGTCCTAAGCGTGAGCGCGACTCCTGGGTGCCTGGGTGTCGGGAGCGTGGCGTTTTAGTAAATTGCAGGGAATTCCAACGCAAAGGCGCTATTCTTAAGTAAATTGCAAGCAAGTATCCAGCGAGAGCGCGACTCCAGAGCGCCGGGAGAACGGGAAGGGCACTTCAATCGAAAAAAACAGTGTGCACCGGACGGGGGGGATCAACAATAATTAGTCTTCAGAAATGAGAGTTCACCCACAAAAACAACCATTGTAAGGCTGTGCGCTCTTACTTGCCCGCGAGTCATTCAACACGTATACCCTACACCCTCGATGCCCGCCCTCTTCGTCTTCGATCACACCCCTTTCGGGGGGATTATTTCTCTTTGCTGGGGCCGGCGGGCTTAGACGTACGGGCAAACCGGAACGGGCGGACAATCCTTCGGGGGCGTACATCTCTCTGCCCGCCATTGGAATTGGCGCGGGCCCTGCAAGAGGAGGAGGGGAAGAACGAGGGAGAGTGGGAGGAAGGGGAGGGGGAAGGACGAAGGAAGAGGGAAGATACCACGTTGTGAAGGCGTCCTTGGCGCGTGCGTGGTTCCTGAGCGCCGAAACGCAATTCCAGAATAATTTGTGAGGACGTCGCACGCGAGAGCGCAGTCCTGAGTACATTGTTAGGAAATCTCAAGCGGAAGCGGGGGCCCTGACTAAGTTGCGAGGAAGTCTCAAGCGGGAGCGCCGTTCCTGAGCAAATTGCACGGAAGTCTCAGGCGGGAGCGGGGGTCCTCACTAAATTGCGAGGAAGTCTCAGGCGGGAGCGCCGTTCTTGAGTCAATTGCGCGGAAATGTCAGGCAGGAGCGGGGGTCCTGAGTTAAATTTGAAGACGTCTCAGGCGGGAGCGCCGTTCCCACGTAACTTGCACGGAAGTCTCAGGCGGGAGCGGGGGTCTTGATTACATTGCGAGGAAGTCTCAGACGGGAGCGCCTTTCCTTAGTAAATTGCGCGGAAGTCTCAGGCGGGAGCGGGGGTCCTGAGTAAAAATCGAGGAAGTCTCAGGCGGGAGCCGTTGTTGTTGTTGTAGCCCGGGGGGCAGGGGCACAGTTTGAGCAGGAAGATTTTCCTTGAGAAAAAACAAGGTGCGAGCCCCGGGGGGGGCACTTCAATCGAAAAAATCAATGTGCACCGGTGGGGGGGGATCAGCAATACTTATTCTTTAAGAATGATAGTTCAAGAAGAGCAACCACAACAACAAGAGCAACAGCAACTGTAACAACAACAATCACTTTAAGACTGTTCGCTCCTATCTGCTCGCGTGCCGTTCAAAACGTACATCCCAAATCCTCGGTTCCCGCCCTCTTCGTCTTCGATCGTACCCCCTTGGGGGTATATCTTCCTTACCTGCCACGTGCATTTAGTGCTTTAGTGCAGCCCCTGAGGCAAGGGAAGAGAGGACGGATGGAAGGGGGAGGGAGGAGGATGGAGCACGAGAGAATCCATGAAATCATCCTCCAGCTGGAGATTTCTGACAGCTGCACAGATGGAGTGCGTCTCCATTACACAGCCTGGCTCCCGCCTGAGACTGCCTTAACTTCCTATGATCTCGAAACTTGGGCTACAGAAGTGGAATGCGTCTTGCTTTTCAAATTCTTGCTCCAGCCCTGAAGCTTGACCTTTCACCCTTCAACAGGCGCACAGGCGGAGAGCGAGGGCAGTCTGGACGAGGGGCAGAACCCAAGTTTCGTCCTTAGCCCGAGCCTCACGTCGGCATCGTCTCCAGCTGTGGCAATGCCGGCGCTATCAGCGGCCTCGCTCTCCTGGGCACCGGCTGGAGGAGGGAGGAGGGTCAGGAAGAGGAGGAGGAGGAGGAAGAGGGGGAGGAGGAGGAGGAGGAGGAGGAGGAGGAGGAGGAGGAGGAGGAGGAGGAGGAGGAGGGAGGAGGAGGAGGAGGGAGGAGGAGGAGGAGAGGAGGAGGAGGAGGAGGAGGAGGAGGAGGAGGAGGAGGAGATGGAGGAGGAGGAGGAGGAGGAGGCGGAGGAGGCGGAGGAGGAGGAGGAGGAGGAGGAAGGAGGAGTTGCAGCATCAGGACAAGGACAAGGAGGAGGAGGAGGAGGAGGAGGAGGAGAACAGGGGGGGGGGACCAGGACGAGGGAAACAGCCCGTCATAATCTGCTCCTGCCCCTGGCGCGCCAGCTGCTTCGCTCATGCCTCCGCTCGTCGGCGCTCGCCGCAGGCCGCCCGCCGTGCGCAGGCGCGGTTCTCGCTGCCAGACCTCACGGAGGGCTGCCCCGACCCATCCGTGCCCGAGGGGGGTGCGCGGTGAGCACTGCGCCCCGCGATGCGCGACGCGCCGGCATCCTCGGCTCAAGCCTTTCGGCTCAGAAGTAGCTGAGCAGGCCCCAAGGCTGGTGCCTAGCACGCAGCCGCTAGGCTTCTGAGGGAGAAGAACGTCCAGCTGATCCTCTCTCGCCTAATCTTTCGCCCTCGCGCCCCCCCCCCCCCCCACCCCTGGGCAAGGCCAGCCGCTCCGGCCCAGGCCGCGACGCGCGAAGCGCGGTTCTCTTCGCACACCCCGAGGGGGTGGACCTGGGCATCAGGTGAACGACGAGGGGAAACAGGGTCATATCTAGGCCACTGGGCCACCTAACTTCGCACATCGTGCCCCGTGATGCGCGACGCGCGATCATCTTCGCGCTCTCGCGAGGTCACCTTGTAGAAGGTCAGCTCTCCAGCCCAGGCCGCGATGCGCGAAGCGGGATTATCTTCGCGCCCCTGGGTGTGACCTAGCATACGCATGATGGTTCGGCGACTCTGCGCGGTGGCCGTGCGGGAGAGATAGCGCCTGCGCGCAACCTCACGCGGACGGCGTACGCGTCAGTGCCCGCGCAGTCGCTCGACCCCGCTGTGGTACGTCGCCCGAGTGGCCCGTGTGTGCCAAGGTTCATAAAAACTGGAGGCCCGAGCCTGAAACCAGTGAGCAATGGTGACTTCTCTGACATGGATGTGGAAACATGTGCGGCTTCTGCGTCGCTTTCGGCTGTAAGGAACCACATTCTTCTTGATCATGGTAAGCGCGTTGATCAATGTATGTGCCTGTGGCAGCGGCGCCGCCATGCGGAAGCATGGGCGCCGCCTCGGTCGGGCCCTCAGAAGGTCGAGGGACATCCTGGGCGAAGCGGACGAAAACATCGGGGACGAGGCTCCCAACACTCTGCTCGGAGCTCTGCTCCCTCTGAGAAGCGCGCACGATGGCATCTCTGTCTATGGCAGCTGCTGCTCCCGCCGCGAGACCCGCGGGCGAGCGAACGGCAGCTGGAGGTGGATCGAGCCCCGCCGTGCCGAGGCCGTGGGACGCCCTAGCCTGGAAGGCCTCCTCTCCGCCCCTTCCTCATCACCCTGCTCCCCTTTTCCTCTTTTTCGTAGCCCTTGCCCTTCTCACAATCACCCTCATGCTCCATCTCATTGTCCCTCCCTTCCTCTCCTGACCCCCTGCCCCTCCCCCGAGGCAGAGGGTACCGACCTGACCGAAGCGATCGAGATCTGCGAGGTGGTCGACCCACAGTCGGAGACAACGGCGACGGCAACAAAGACAACGACGAGGGTGGCGAAGATGACGAGGACAGCGAGGAGGACGTGAACGAAGAGGACAAGGACCAGGAGGACGACGATGAAGACGAGGGTGGCGAGGAGGAAAGGCTTGCACGTAGGTGAGATCGGAGAGGGAGGATAACAAGGGTGACGATTAGGAGGGAGGAGAGTGGAGCAGGGAAGAGGCAGGAGAACCGAGAAGAGAAGAAGCGTGAGGATCGGCGATAACACGGGGGATGACGAGAGGAAACTACGGAGGAGGACTAGGAGGAGTGAGGAGGAGGAGGAGGAGGACGACGACGACCAGCAGGTAGAGGGAGGATGGGGGGCACATGCCGCTGCAGACGCAAGGTGCTGTTTGCTGCTGCACTGAGACAGGCTGCTCAGCAGAAGATCAGCAGAGTCAACGAATACCTTGTGATCTGCCTTATCTACGAGTCGACGCTCGCGAGTGTGGCGTAGATGCTAGGGGAGCTATTCGCCGAAGAAACAGCGTGATTAATGCAATTCTTCTGCATGAGCACGCAGCCCAATGCATTTGCATACGTAATGCCAGCCTGTCCGTCTCCCCGAACTGGTCGTCCTCGTGGTCACCATTCAAAACGACTCGCTCGAAATTGACAGTTCGCACGTCGAGTTACAAGGACTCAGTGGTGTAGTAGTTCCAAGTCGCGAACATGTCATACCCACTGGCTCGGCAACGGGGAGCGGTGTCGGGGACCGAGTGCTGCTTGAATGCGCCCGTGCGTACCCAGCGGTGCCGTGCGTCTGGCCGGAAAGAGGCCCCAAGAGACCCCCAAGAGGCTCCCCAAACCGCCCCAAGAGACCACAACGCCGCCCCCAGGAGGCTTCCGAGAGGCCTCCCGAGAGATCTCCACAGGCATCCAAGAGGCCTCTGACCTACGATGCAAGCACGGTCGCGGGGTGGGCCGAATGACCCCCCCCCAAGCGTGCCGCAATCGCGGAGCAGCGGACGTGACCGCCAGGCGCTGCTGCAGCTGATGGATGACGACCCTCAGCTATCGCCTCGGCTGTCCCGCCGCTCACGGAGCAACGGCAGCACCCGCATAGCATGCCGCACTCCCCCGCGCGCGCCGACTCCTCCCGCATCTCGCTCAGCAACGACAAGGCCTTCTGGCAAGTCTGCTCGTGGGCGGTACCGTGGGTCCGTTTCGCCCTCGTGGTTGTCTCGCGGAGCCTCTCCGCGGAGCAGCTCTGCGTCGCGTGCGTGCCGTGGTGCTGCGCAGGTCAAACACGGTCTGCGTCGGCATACCCTCGCGATCGACGTCGGCAGTCCTCGCTCATGGCGGACAAGGGCACGTTGGTCGACTGTCCTATACGGCGTGCCTCCCATGGAGGTTCTGCCAGGGATACCCTCAGACTGGCTGATCAGATGATCATCGTGTTCGCGTTGGCGGTGCTCCTCAGCGACACGGTCGCAGGCGTCGTAGGTGGCGGTGGAATCGCGGTTTCGAAGGGCGAACGTTAAGTAGGTTGCGAGTCACTCGAGCCAGCTCTCGTGGTCTCTCTGCTTCACCGATTCGGCAAGCAAGTGCGGCGTCCATTTGGAGGCCCTCTCAATCGCCAAGTGCGCCATCTAACAGTGTTGGCGCCATGTCACGCTGAGAACCGTTCGGACCTGTCTGGGCCCTCCCGACTGGAGCTGCCTGGGTCACGGACCAGCTGCGTGTAGACATCCAAGTGAAATTGTGAGGCCGTCTGAGTCCGTGATGTCCGCCCGCTCGCTCGAAGATCGTGGAACAACTCTGGTCGCCGATGGTCCACCGAGCTTGGCCCGGCTCTCGTGGCGAACACGGCTGCCAGCACGACTGCCCAACAGACACGACGTGCTGGGCCTCTGCATCCGTCGTGCGATCCCGTGGCAGTGCACCGCTGCGCCTGCGGAGGCCCGTGTGCTCCTCGAGCTGCTTGGCGTGCTCCGCGGCGTGGATCCGAACACGCACGTCATCACCGATGCCGTCGGGCAACTCGGCGTGGGGGGATGTCCAGGAGGCTTCGGGGTGATGCGCCCTCTGGAGGGGACCGCGCGACGACCTGGGTCTCTGAACTTCGCGCGTCGCGCCCCGCGATGCGCGACGCGCGGTTGTCTTCGCGCCCTCGCGCCCCCGCGCGACCGCCCGGGAGTAGGGCAGCTGATTCGGCCCAGGCCGCGACGCTCGAATCGCCATTGTCTTCACGCCCCCGCGGGTGACGTAGACGACGGGCGTCGAGGGCATCGGTGAAGCTCATGCTCCGTGGGCGCTTCGCAAGCGCCGTCGGGCACAATCGAACAAATTGCAAGCAATGAACCAGCCTCACAGAGGCGGCGGAAGAGAGAAGCGATTGTCGCGCGGCCGGCATCGCCGCGGACGCGGCGGCTGAGAGATTGCAGAGGCTGACGTGCAACATGAGAGGTCGAAGAGGCCCCTGCGCTTGCGACGTCGTTACGCAAGGCCCCTGGAGGGGAGTCTTGAGCCAAAGCGGCTGCGGGGAGGAGGGATGAGGAGAAATGAAAAGAAATGAGGAGGAGGAGGAGGAGGAGGAGGGGGAGGATGACGGGAAGGCAGGAGGAGGAGGGAGGAGGAGAGAGGAGGGAGGAGGACGGTGAGGGATGCGGAGAGAAGCAGTAGGAGGAGAAGGAGGAGGAGGAGGACGAGGAGGAGGAGGAGGAGGAGGAGGTAGGAGGAGGAGTAGGCGGAGGAGGAGGAGGAGTAGGCGGAGGAGGAGGAGGAGGAGGAGGTTGGAAGGATGAGGGGGGACGCCGACGCCGACGCCGACGACGCCTCTCACGGCGCAGATAGGCGACTAAAGCTCAAATTGCGCAAAGAAGGTCCTCCAAATAGGGTCCTCGATCGACGACGCCGACGACGAGGCCAGCGGCGCGGATGCCGACTTCGGCGCCGACGAAGACGACGCTGACGGCCACGCCGACGCCATCGCCGACGCCGACGCCGACGACGACGCCGAAGGAGACGAAGCCGACGGCCACGCCGAAGCCGACGCCGAACGGAAGCGGTACTCCGGCCCGCCGCCGCCGCCGCCGCCGACGACGACGACGACGACTTCGACGGCGACGGCGACGGCGGCGGCGGCGGCAGCGGCGATGGCGACGGCGACGGCGACGGCGGCGGCGACGGCGACGGCGCCGACGACGGCGCGACGACGGCGCCCGAGTTCCTCGCCGCCTGCCTCCGCGCGGGGGGCCTCCTCTGGGAGGGTGGCAGCTGCGCGCCGACACCGAGCTCGGACTGCAGGAGCGTATGAACCCAAGACTGATGAACGATATTGCATTAACCCTCCCTCCACGTTCCCTCCTCATAGGCCCCCCATACTGAAGACTCTGCCAGAACACCATTCCTGCAACTTCACCGCCGCGAGTCACTGCTACTCTTGCGTTTTGACGATCCTGCATGGTGCCAGAACACCAGTCCTGAAACTTCAACACCGTGAATCAACATTATTGCTGCGCCCTGACATTCTGGCATCGTGCCAAAACGCCACTTCTGGGACGCCAACCATAACAATTCTTCAAACTGCTGCAAACTCTTAAGACGAATGTGCGCGACGCTAAAGCGAGAACAACATTTTTCAGAAGGAACAGCCCTCTATCTGTGAAACTCCGGTGAATTTTGAAAACGAATGTGCGCGGCGCTAAATGGAGAGCCACATTTTGAACACCGCCCACTCTATCAGCCCCGCGACTCCAACGAAGGACCCATGGGGGCCCATCCGGAAGGAAAGAATTTCCGGGGCGCGCCCAGGAATCCAGGGGGTACGGCTTCCGCGGAGGAGAAAAAATCCCTGGCGAGGGGTTCGAGCGCGGGGGTTACCCCCGCTTCAACTTCCGGAAGAGGAATGAATTCTCAGCCGCGGGGGTGCCCGCGCGAGGGGTCCCACCCCCCAAGCGCAACCAGAGGAGGAAAAGCGTGAGAGCCCAGATTGTAAGTGCAATGCAGCAACACTCTAACAGTGATTGCAGTAGGGAGTTGTGCTAACAATGGGGAGTTGTACCAGGGAGTCCTACTGGGAGTTGTGCTAGGGAGTTGGACTAGTACTAGGGAGTTGCACAGGGAGTTGCACGAATAGAATTGCACTAGGGAGTTGCACTGGGCAGTTGTACTAGGGAGTTGTACTAATACTAGGGGGTTGTACTAAGGAGTTGCACTAGGGAGTTGTACTAGTCCCTCTTGTTCCAGGGAGTTGTACTAGGGCATTGTGCTAGGGAGTTGCACAACGGAGTTGCGCCAGGGAGTTGTACTGGCACAATAATAGTTGCACGGCACTCTGATACTTGCACGGCAGGACAATGTGCTCTCTAGGAGCAACTGCGCGCTAGTACATGATAGTGCCAGTCGTACTCAAGTACTAGTTGTACGGTAGTCGGAGGGGTTCAGGGGTTCCAATGGCAAATCGCGCACGGAAGAAGGAAAGAACTCCATGCGCCGCCAAGGGTCCCAAGTTTAACGGGTCGCCGCGAAGGTTGACCACCCGCGGAAAAAAAAAAAAAAAAAAAAAAAAAAAAAAATCCGGCCAGGGTGGTGGGTGGTTCAGGCATGAGTCGCGGGGCTGATCCCACCCTCCATCCGGAAAACTGCTGCAAACTGTTAAAACGAGTATGCGCAGCGCTATGTAAAGCGAGAGCCAAATTTTGAAAACGAACCACGTGGCCCGCCCTCCCTTTCGACCGGCATCGGGGCGCGACAGGCAAGAGTCATTCATAATGAACAGGAGAGGAGGAGGACGACGACGACGAGGAGCAGGAGCAGGAGGAGGAGGACGAGGCGGACGAGGAGAATGACGAGGAGGCGGACGAGGAGTAGGAGCATGAGCAGGAGGAGAAAAGGGGAGGGGGAGGAGGATAAGAAGGAGGAGAACGAGGATGATGATGAGGATGAGGAGGAGGTAGGAGGAGGAGGAGGAGGACGAGGAGGACGAGGAGGAGGAAGAGGAGGAGGAGGAGGAGGAGGAGCAGGAGCAGGAGCAGGAGCATGAGGAGGAGGAGCAGCAGGAAGAGGAGGAGGATGAGGAGGAGGGGGATGAGGAGGAGGTGCAGGACGAGGAGGAGCAGGAGCAGGACGGGGAGCAGGCCGAGGAGGGAGGACGAGGAGCAGGACGAGGGAGGAGCGCAGGCAGGAGTGCCCAGGCCAGGGCTGGTGCCAGTGAACGGAGATATTCGGCCCCTGATCCTCGCCGCCCGGAGCCTCCTCGCCAAGCACGCCGACATCGCCCTCGGCGCCGCCCTCCATTGCCGGCTTCCAGCGGCCCCGCCGCCAGGCGGCTGCGAGGCTGCGAGGGCCCCCATCACTCCCTCCCTCCCGCTCTCCCTCCCACCACTCTCCTCCTCCTCCTCCTTTTCCTCCTCCTCCTCCTTTTCCTTCTCCTCCTCCTCCTCCTCCTGCTCCTCCTCCTCCTCCTCCTTCTCCTCCTCCTCTACCTCGCATCCGCCTCCTGCTCATTTCCTCGTCCTCCTCCTCCTCCTCCTCCTCCTTTTCCTTTTCCTCCTCCTCCTCCTCCTTCTTCTCTCCTCCTCCTCTCCTCCTCCTCCTCCCTCCTCCTCGCATCCGCCTCCTGCTCATCTCCTTTCCTCCTCGTCCTCGTCCTCCTCCTCGTCCTTCTCTTCCTCCTCCTCCTCCTCCTCCTCCTCCTCCTCCTCCTCCCCTCCTCATCCGCTCATCCTCTCATCCTCTCATCATCATCATCATCATCAGCAGCAGCATCATCATCATCAACAACAGCATCAGCATCAGCATCAGCATCAGCATCAGCATCATCATCATCATCATCGTCATCATCATAATCCTCTTCAATCATCATCAGCAGCAGCACCAGCCTCATCATCATCACCATCATCAGCATCATCATCATAATCATCATCACATGCATAACCGTAGTCATCATTAGCATCACCACCATCATAATCACAACCACCACCATCAGCATCACCATCATCATCGTCATCATCATCATCACCATCATCATCGTCACCATCACCATCACCATCATCATCATCATCATCATCATCATCATCATCACCATCATCATCATCACAATCGTCAACATAATCATCATCACCATCAGCATCAACCGAATCAGCTTGATCGTGCTCAGCATCACAAGCGTATCAGCATCATCGTCATTACCATCACCATCAGCACCAGCATCAGCATCAGCTTTCAAAGAATCACCATCATCATCATAATCGGCATCGCCAACATCATCATCACCATCATCATAGTCAT